TAAACCTGCAGATTGAGAGCGAAGTGCTCTGTTAGGAACATAAGGAACAATCAGATCTCTGATATCAGATGGAGCTTGGCCATTTAAGGCTTTATTAACATGTTTGTTGAATCATCAGATGGGAACATGAATGACCAGGAGCTGAATGAACCGCAGAACAGAGTCACCCTGCTGAAAGGTAACTGCCACCTGCTTTCAATACTTTTACTAAAGTGTACACATGTGGATTTTTTTAAGAACATTTCTGAAAGGTCAGGTTTAGATGGAAACATTTCAGATCTCTTGCTGCTAGATCTTGGTCACAAGAGTTTTTATGCATGAGGAGATTGAAAAAGGCTTGGGCCGATGGTCGCCTGTGTTGTTTGTGTGTAGCTGAGCTGAATCGGGCTGGTCTGGAAGCAGGAGACACGGAGAAGGTCATCAGCCATCTCCACAGAGAACTTCTGGAAGCCCAGGACTTGGCCAACACTGGGAAGCAGAAATGTCTGGAGCTCCAAGGTAACTGCAGTAGCTGCTGAGCAGAACTCCCTGACTGAAAGCTCAGTTTTGGGTCCATGGTACCACCATGGTACCACGGTGGTTCTTGGTACTGTGATGTTCAAGCACTGTGACCGACTGTCTGCAGCTCTGCTAGAGGAGGAGAGGAGGAGTAACTCCAAGCTGACTCAGGAGTCCAGCAAGCAGATCCAGTTCCTGCAGAGTGAGTATAGTACCATCAACCAGTCCAACCCAGAACCGGTCCAGGTTCTAACTTGTCGGTTCCTTCTACTAATGCAGCTCAGCTGGAGAAACTTCAGGCGGACATGGAGGCCCTGAGGGAGCAGAGGGAGGGCACCATCTGCAGCACCAGGGAGGAGCTCTGCTCCGCCCAGGAGGAGGTACTGATCTGTTCCCCCTCTTCTTTCTCCTCCTGGGTTCCTCTTAATATTGGCCTCGTCTCATCATCATCCTCACTGTACTCACCTGGATTGTTTCTGCTGTCAGATTCTCGTTCTGCGACACGCCATGGAGACGGCCACCGCAGAGCGGGAGCGAGAGATCGCCGCCCTGCAGGCGAACGTGGGTAGCATTCGCTCTGAGCTGGAACACTGGAGGGCCACGGCTGCCAAGTACGAGGAGGAGATCAGCCGCCTGCAGGAGACATTTTCTCAGCAGCAGCAGAGCAAAGCCAGTCAGCTGCAAGGTTGAAGCTGCTTCTGCTTCTTGGTTAAGATGTGTCTGATTTCATGGCCTCTTAATAACGAACCATCTGTCCTTCTCTCCGTTTGTCCTTGTCTCTTTCCGTCCTTTTCTCCTTCTGTCCCCCAGAGGAGTGTGCAGCTTTGCAGCAGCGCTGCACATCTTTGCAGCAGGACTGTGAAGGCTTGAGAGCTGAGCGGAGAGATCTCACAGAGAAGCTGCAGCGCCTGGAGGCTGAGCTCAGCAGGTACGAAGATCAGGTTCAGTCAAGTGAGAAGATCACATTTTTCAAAG